GTGTGTGTGTGTGTGTGTGTGTGTGTGTGTGTGTGTGTGTGAGCGAGGCTAGCCTTGTTAGCGCCGGCTGCAGCGATGGAAGTGATGCGACATGACTGCAGAGCTCACACTGGGATCTGCAGGAAGAATTAACAGATGAGTTCTTTCTGCAACAGATTTTATTATCTTACATTTTCAACAATCAAAGCTCGTCTGTCTCGTTTGTCTCCATGTGTCCCTGCGATGGACAGGAGACATGTCCAGGTTCCTCCCTGCCTCCCCCACAGTGACAGCTTAGATGGGAACCAGATCTAAAGAAAAGAAAAGGAAAAAGCAGATGAAAAATAGATAAAAGCATATTTGTAGCAAAGATTTCATTTTATTTAAGCTCCATTTTTAGATAAAACTGACGACCAAATACATCTGTTCAATAAACAAATTATAGATACATAAGTATAGACTTTAAAGCAGTTTAGCTGATATGTATATTTAAAAAATAAATACAACAATAAGAACAAACAGTTGTTCACAGCAGATGGTTTCAGTAATTTAAAGACTGCTATCATTTCATAAGAATCTGTAAACAAAACTAAAATTTGATCTCTGAAATATAAAAGACAAAAATCATCACTTTTAGTTTTCCTTTCAGTTTTCAGTCTTGATGCTTGGCTGGCAGTGTGAGCTCATCGGATCAGAACCACAGAAACGGTTCCTGCCTTCAGAACGATTCAGGACCTCCTGAAACGGACAGAATTAGGTAACGAATTAAAAACATCTTTATTGAAGAAGTGTTTAGTTTGTTCTGTTTCTCTGTGGTTTTTACGGGTCACCCGAGCCGAGGCCTTCGTTGGGTTTTCACATGGTTCTGGTCCTGGTGTCAGGGAGGTGACCTCAGTCCACCAAACAGATCTGACTCAGACTTGATCTGACAGCTGCCAACAGAGGGCGCTGTAAGTCCACTGGTGACATTTCATTTCACCTATTTGAACATTTCTGACAGAAAAACATGTTTACCACAAAAATATGAATGAAAAAACTAAACTTAATGAAGTGGAAGTTCTGACCCTGTGGGGACCAACAGATTTATTATCAGCTCCTTCTGAAGGGAAACCAAACGTCCAATCAGATGTTCCGTTAGAAAGATGGGACCTTTTTATTAAACATAAACACTGCTAAAAACAACTAGTAAAGACTAAACTCTTCACACAAATCAGACAAAGAACTGAAAGTTTCAACCAAGAACATGAAGAGCTTTAATACTTTATAGAACTGATCAGACTGGTGAAGACTGGACACCACAGGACTGTCTTTACTGGTAAATGGACTGAACTTATACTGCGCCTTGTCACACAGACACACACATACACACACACACACACAGACACACACATACACACACATATTCACACACACATTCACACATACACACATTCACACACATACACACACATTCACACACAGACACACACATTCACACATACACACACATACACACACACATATTCACACATACACACACACATACTCACACATTCACACATACACACACAGACACACACATTCACACACATAAACACACATACACACACACACACACACATATTCACACACACATTCACACATACACACATTCACACACATACACACACATACACACACATACACACACATACACACACATACACACACACACACACACATATTCACACACACATTCACACATACACACATTCACACACAT